AGAGAAGGACTGACGGGTGAAAATCGAAAAGGGGGAGAGGTAGAGACTAACGGGTGGGAAGTAATCGGAGGTTATGATTAGGGTTTAGTGCAAAATTTAATTCAAAAGGATAAGAATGAGATAATTTTATTATTAGAGGGTAAAGATGAAAACAAAATGTTTTTCAAGAATGCTGATATTTTAAAGTAACTAGTTGATGTACATGTGCGTTGCACGTAAATCATTCTGAATATAAATTATTCTATATAATTATTTAAAATATTTTGAATGTAAATCATTTTGAGTATAAATTATTCTATATAATTATTATCAAAATTTTGTTTGTTCCAAAGTTTGGGACATTCGTAAAGGAATGAAATTGTGAAGTCACTTGAATTTTGTTATTACTGGATATTAGAAAATAATTCGCCTTCTCTCCGCATTCCTTCCCCTTCTCTTTATTGTTTCATTGGAAGAGTTGTGAAAGAATGAATAAAACTAATAAGATATGATTTCCTACTACATTACCTCATTAGTCATCCATAGCTAGCAATGTAGTTGTTGTAAATGATTGGTGATGTATACTCAAACCTTTAAGTAATGAATATTATGTGATGATAATTATATTTCAGCAACTAACAAAAAGTACATTTCTCATAATTTATTTCTAGTTTTTCACATTTCTTGTTGAAAATTTGTTTTCACTAACTCACATTTATGTGTTGTATACATACCTCGCATAGGGGGATAGGATTCATTTGTTCTTAGCCCCAAAACATGCGAGCAAAGCCTTTTTCTAAATCGAACATACCTTGCTTTCAATTTGATATAAGATAATTAGATAATAAGTCTAATTTACAAGTATGAACCAATCAATTGTTGTCCACTTCTGTTTCAATTGTACAAAAAAATGAGGGAAGAATTCTTTCTTTGAGAGCTCGTCATGATTCTCTTGTACATGACATGAAACAGAACGGCTTCCATGGAGAGCAAGGATGCTAATACTCTTTCTAAGTCTATCCATCTGGCTATCAAAAACAGAATGGCTTCCATCAAGTTCAGCCCTTCTGAGACTAATCTGCAACTGGCACTCCATTGGAACCTGTTACTTTGTTTAATTGTTGAATGATGCATTTTATTAGGTGTTATCCTTTTGTTTCCTTGGGTGTTCCTTTGCTTGTATTGGTACACCTTGTTTATCCCTTTTTTCAATATAGTTTATTTACCTTTCGATAAAAAAAAAGACATGAAATTGTTAATTGTTGAGTTCGCTAGCAGCTATTCTAGACTTTTAAAGTTTTTTTCTAATAGAATAATTTGATGAGTTGTGTTGTAGACTTGTCTAGAGTTGAATTCACTTAGCCTTAAATGATAACCCCTTTTTTTAATGAGAATGCCGCCTATGTGAGTTTTAATTGCATGATGTTGCATGAGTTCTTTAATGCTACACATGGCAATTTTCTATATTTTGATTGGGAAAGCAGCACAAGAATTAGAGTAGTGATTCCAGTTTTGTGGGAGGAGCTTCTCACCTTTTTGCTTAATATCAGGATTACAGCACTATGAAAGTCTTGATCTCAAGCTGTCTCTCAACTAGAAATTCATTCACAGCCAGTTGCTCCTCATAGTCATTGATGAGACTCTTGAATAATGTAGTCTAATTTGTAACTAAGTATTAAATCCAATACTTAATTACAAGATAAAGAATTATTATAAAAAACAAAAACTTCAACAAATACAATGTAACGATCAGCGCATGTAATCAACTCAACTATCACTCATGACAAATATCTAATAACTCGTTTACTATAAGTTATATGACGGGTTTTTTTTTTGGGTCTAGCTAGCCTTGCTGTAAGGTAAATGGTTTATAGTTGAAGCTACTATAAAAGCAACGTAGTGATTAAAAAATTGATGCTCACCCTTTCCCAGATCATTAGGATCACCATGGACAACTACAGCCCTAGAGAGTGGAATCTACAAACAATAGCACATATTAAAGTTAATTGTGCAATGTCACTTTGTATGTGCAATAAAAATAACCATGAAAACTAAAATTGTACTAACAGTGGTGATATGTATAACAATGACACATAGTAATGGCTATACGAATTTCTCTCATTAACAAGGACCGAAGTACAATACTTAAGATAAAACAGCTATTTTGAAAGGTATTTCTGAATTTTATTTTTTTTTGATAGGAGATATATGATGGGGGTGGAAAATTTTCTAGTCATTGATTAAATAGCATGTACCATCGTCACCAATTGTAGCATTGCCAAGATCATCAACATGACGATTCTCATCCTCGGAGCACCATGCACTTAGCTAACAGGATTGAAATGTGGTCCTGCAAATTGAAGCAATCAAGACCATATTCATTGAAGTATCATATTGCTTGTTCCCCATCCCCCAATTCTCCATGGATACCTATAAAATGAAGATGACAATGGAGAATAAAGATAACCTATTGATGTGCAGCCATTTGTTATGTCACCAAGAGCATGGATATGGATAGGTAAAAAAGATGGTGTTGCTACTGAAAATTACAACAACTTTCACCATTGTTATATGAGATTTAAGCAAGTGACAATAACATTATCTTATTAGTTAGTTAAGTTTAAAAAAAAATCTTATTAGTTCACTACAATATCAATAATTATAATAACCAGATCTTATTAACCAGGTAGACATATGAGAGCCACCATCAAGTAGCTGGTCTACCAGTTTTCACAAATTGAGATGATTATACACATGCATATAGAAAAAAAACCCACGATGACGGAGTTTAAATAAAATTCTGATAAAATAAAAAAAATACTCATAAAAGTAAGTCACAATGAAAACTTCCATCACCATCACCACTTAACACCCCTCAAAAATGGATTGAAGTTATGATAGATTTGTGTTCAAGTGGCACAAGACCTTCAATTGACCATAGGGCATATTCTACCCAAAAGGCACAACTAACTATTATAGGAGGATGCCCACAACCCTTCTTTCCCCCAAAAAAGTTGTTGTAGCAATTCAACCATTGAATGTCCTCCAGACTTCGTCATTGTGCAAATTTCTCTGTATGGGTGAGTGACAAATTAAGGGCCATTGAAGGGGTTCCAACAGGTTTTTATGTTCCAGCCTAATAAAGCCAAATTCCATATTGCTATTTTTTTTTCTACTTTATCATGTGTGTTTGTGGGTCAGTGTGTGTGTTTGCTTTCACAAAGGAAAGGCCATTAAAAGGATTCAACAATTTTAAATTTAAGTACATTAATTAACAATACATTCATTTTGCATTACTTATACCTCTACCAACACAAGTCCATGAACATAAATAGCAATAGAGTGCATGAAGATTTGAATACCCATAACATAATAGACAAAATTTCTAAAGCCAAATTAATAACTATTAATAGATCTTATCTAGCATACAATTTCGCAGAGATGTACAACCAACTTTAACATACAAAAAACCAATATCTAAACAATAAATTCAAAATCCAATTCAACAAAAGATCACAACAAACTATTATGAGAAGACCCTTGGGGAACCAAACCCCAAAATAGGAAAACAATTTGGAAACTCAAAATAAGTACGAAAATTAGATGAACAACACAGATGCAATGAGAAACATAAACCTGAACATTGGCATTGACATGATTTTGTTGTTTATTTTTGGTCTTCCTCTTACCATCATTTTCGTGCTTTGGTCAGCTATAGTGTGGTTGCAGCTGTAATCCCTTTTGACTGCATTTTTTTTTGTCAAATTCATACCACAAAGAGGTAAAACAACCAAAAAAATGTTAATATTATGTAACTAAAGAAAAAAAGGTTTTGAGGGCTCACTCAGAGAGTTGTTGGATCGAATAAACCCCCTTGGGCGGTTTTGAAACTCAAATGGAATCCTCGACAGCCAAGAACACCACTGTCCGCATCAACAAATTTTCTCAAGTCATTGTGAAAGAAAGATTAACGAACATATATATAAGTTGTATGCTACCTCAAAAGGATGTCTAAAATAAAGGATATATCTGAAGCGAAAGAGGAAGAGGAAGAGGAAAGCAAAAGAAAGGAAAGGAAAGGGGAACAAAAGGGACAAGAAGAGAGAGAGACAGTAACGGGTAAGAAGTAAATTGGATTTGATGATTAGGTTTAGCGTGTTATTAATTATGGAAGATAAGGGGTGGTATAATTGCATTAGTGGAGGGTAAAGGTGGAAAAAAAAGTTTTTCAAAGATACACATTTTTTTAAGTAGTATAGATATAGATATATATTATAAAATTATAAATTTTATTTTGCTAAATAGATTCATTAGATCGTTTATAATATTATTATATTATTGTATACTAAAAAATAAAATATAACATATATTTGACCATATAATTCAATCCGACACCTACTTGTGTATAATAATTTAACATATATAAAACTTTACTTTATATAAATATAGAAAATTATATGTTATTATATTATTAATAAATGAGTTCAAAAGAATTTGTCCAAAATAAGTTATATGTTAAATAGGAGTAAAAATAAAAACTAGATAAAAGTATAAAAATGGGTGTAATTGACTTTTTATAATAATTAATGATAAAATAAGAAATTAAAAGTTTTTTTTATAAATGCTAATATTAAGAGTAATAAATAAAAATTAGATAAAAATATAAAGATAGATATAATTGATTTTATTATAATAATTAAAGATTAAATTTTTTTCACAAATACCGACGTTTATGAGCGATATAGATATAAATATAGGTATTTGTATAGATTATGAGGAGAGAAATGAACTTAAAAAAAAAATAAACTCAAGAGAGAGAGAGAGACTGTTTTGCTGTTTGAGAAAGTAAAGAGAAGTTAAAAATTTCCCATCCCCTTCCTTAATTCCCACCAAACCAGCACAGTATTAACCATCCTGCTCAAAAATCGTCCCAATGTTCTACTTGTCAATGCTCCGAAGACTCAACTGAAATCAGCTCTCAGGCTTTGGTGGACCAGACAGATCCGAAAGCTCCAAATCCAATGCCACCACCTAAAAACCCATCACGAGGATTCTCATTCTTCGGCCTCGGCGGTGGCGGAAATTTCAGCAATTCCAAGAAAGCTGATCAGGTGCCGCCACCGGCGCTGAAGCTAGAGACTGACAGAGACGTATATAGACCCGGTGATCCAGTAACTATCACAATTGAGATCGCAAACCCTCCGGGTGGTACATTTTCGCTTCTAGTCGAGAGGCTTAGTTTTGAGATCAAAGGGATCGAGAAGTTGGATTCGCAATGGTTTTCCACTGCCAAGCCCACCCAAGAGTCTAAACAAAGAAGAGGTTTGCGTTGCTAGTTTTTTTTCAATCATTTTTTGCAATGAATTTGATTGATTTCTTGGATTATGATTTCTTAATTTGCGTAGTGTAATGGCTTATAGGTGATGTGAGAGAGAGAGAGAGAGAGAGAGAGAGAGTAGTAGTAGTAGTAGTTGAACAAAGATTCATGTAAATGAAGAAGCATACACGACAGCATTAAGAGGATTGGCAAGATGAGATGGCCTGGAGCCTCACTTCAAAAGCTGGAGTTAACTCTTTAGAATGAGGCCATCTCCCAGAAATGTACTCCCGATAATTGTCTTGTGTACGTGGGAGTGAGACAGGGGCATGTATGTATAGAGGAGGATTTGGTGGTGCTCTAAGGGTACCTGGTAACTCCTGGTCAGCTCAATGGAATAAAAGGAAATGGGTTTAAAAGAAACTTGTTTTCATAATGTGGATTGAAAGGAACTTGTTTTCATAATATGGATTAAACATTTCAGTTGATGTATTTTCACAGTAATGTGGGATAATAGTCATTTTGGTGCCACTTCGCTCTTCCACACATGCACAGAAGTTCATGAGCTTGTATACAACTCAACTCAATAAAGACTCGTCCCAACATATTTGGTCGTGGTGCGGAAACAAAATATACAGTGAAACAAATAGATTTGGTTGTTGTGGTACTTAGGGTTCACAGTTTGTTTTGGTACAAGATGCCTAGCCTTAGATTACATGTATTATACTCTTTCTGATCAATAAAATTCTACTATGAGTTCCAAGGAGCGCAAATTTAGTTTACATGTGCAAGATACATTATTCAACTACTATCCTAGTCCTTCAAGTAGCTGAGTCAAGACTGTGCAGACTAATTATTCTTTATAACCATAAGGACAATGATCTAAGCATGACTTGCTTCTTCTTATGAGTAGGAGTAAGTCTGTATACCCTTACTTTCCGAACATACTGCAAAAGGCATAGCATTGTTGCAAATTACACAGTTCTGACACTGTTCCTTAAAGTATCCTGATTGGATGCCCACACCTTAGAAACCGATCTTAACATCAGTGAGTGAATGATGAACAGTAACTCTTCTGTCACCAGACAGCTGGGAAAGATATGATAAATATTTCCTCCACCTACTTGTACTGTTGTTCGTACTACACCAGTTTGGTAATTTTTTAATCTTCTTCGAGCTATACATACAAAGAAAAACATATCCAGTGTTTCTTTTGCTTTCCAACTGGGCTTCCTAGGAACCCATGCATTCCCCCTCACTTGTATCTTTGTACGAAACTTATAAAATGAGTAAACATTAGACTTTCCACTCCTTTTGATCATTCATGTACAGCTCCCCCTTTATTTTTGGAGAAGAACTCCATTAAAAAAGGCATCTAGTTCTTTCAGCTCCCATTCCTTTAGTGGCCTGTTGAGTTGCACAGCTTAAAGATTGTCTCTTACTGAGAAACGGACATACTGTAAAAAAAAATGTATAGCAAATTGCCATTACAAAAGATTGATTTGGAAACACTTATATCAAAACAATCAAACAATCAATCTACTCCTCTGTCCTGCCAAACTTACTCTGTTCATCATGTTCAGCAAGGCTAATTTGTTTGGGGACTTCTGCCTGACCCTTTCTAATGTACCCCCTCATCTTTGAAATGCAACCTTGTATACAATCTTCATCTGTTAAAAATCTTTATGTGCCATGTAATACAGAAGGGAAGTCCCTTTTACATGGTTGTAGGCCTTCTTAATAACTGTCTTGAAGAATACCAGGAGTGGATCTATAGAATATGTCGGCCTTCCACATAAGCTGTTCTACCTTGAGATACAATCCTCTGCCAAACACTCCAATTTTTGAGCTAGAATTTATATGAAGTCAAGTTTGATTAAATCACAAATGAAGCATGAATTACATACGTTTTGATATTTATCAATTTTATCATTAAATCTGTCATTCCTTTCAGGTGAGTATGTTTTCATGGAGTGCTCAACACCATCAATAGTTTCAAATCAGATTCTTTCAGCTGGGGCCACTAAAAAATGTAAGCCAAATTTGTTTGGTGAATCTCTATCCATCTATCTCTATTTTCTATGGAATATTCATAACGTTCAAACTTCAAAGGGCATAGACAACCTTTTCTTTTCTTTTTTTATTGAAGTTAATAGGTGCTTTTCACTTGGTTATGTGGTTGATGCTTTAATTTGTGGCATCTTCGGTCAGATATTGTATATGCCTTGTTTAATTATTGAACAAACTTAGTGACCAACCCAGAGCATGGGGTTCATTGTATGTGTTCCACGACTTTTGAATGTAATGTAACCCAACAAAGCCTTTTCTCAACTATTTTTAAATGTGACGACTTTAATTATGTTCAAGACTTCTTTGTTGAATTTTTGTGATCTAATAATGTAACTTCCAAGTAGTTTTTTTTTTTTTTGCGATTTTAACTAGGAAGCACTAATTGGTTACTTTCTGATCATTATTTCTCCTATTGAACGAGTGGAGGAAGCAGTTTTCTTGTAATTTTGTATGGTCATTGGCAGTTGGGGCTTAGTGAATGCTAAACACATTTTCAACCTATATTTTGTTCTTTTTCAATAAAAGTTGGCAAGAGAGGATGTGATTGATATACTAATATCTCCCTAACTAATATGAGTCTCTGATAATTCTATCCTATGAAGTATATTCGTGTGCCGGCACATATGTTTTGGTGTAAAATGAACAGAACTTTGGTTTAGTTAGGCTGTTCAAGATTGTAATCTGGAAGCTGCGAATTCTGTATTTGATCTACTATATGGAGCCTATGTTTGTGGTGAGCGAGAGGATGATACTTGTGGAGGGTTGCTAAAAATGGAGGGTCATACTTTTGCTATCAAAGATCCTTGGATGGCAACAATTTATGGTTGCTTGGAAGGATATATGGAAGTCTTGAGTATCCTTTAAGGTGGGATTTCATTTTCATGGATGGTTTATCTTGTGAAAATTGTGACACTGGATATTCAATTAGTGGTGGGAAGATTGTTCCAAACTAGTGCTGCATAAGAAGACAACTCTATAAGAGAGCATCAGAGATGGTCAACCACCTACGTCTTGGTGGTGAAGTGACATAGGTGTTGAATTTTTTATTTTCCCCTCTAAGAATGCAATGGGTTAAGCCCAGGTTAGTTATAAGTTTCATATGTGCTTGATAGGGTGCCCAGGTGAATAGCCGAGATGTTGGGATGTTGCTCCCTTGTAGATATTTTTTGTTTAGAAGGAGAGAATTCTAGACTATTCAAACTGATGAGTTGTCTTTCGCGAGGTAGTTATTATCATATGGTTATCTCTTGTGATACTCCATTGTGCAAAGTAGCAAGAAATGGGGAAAGAGTTTGACAAACAAAAACTATTTGAAAGACTGAAAATAGCTACTTTACATAGGAGTAGGCCGTGGTCCAATGGTAATGTTTGGGTGGGCTATGGTCCAATGGTAATGTTGTTTGGTTGTGTTTTATCAAAAAAAAATGTTGCTTGATTGTGACATGGACATAAGGTAAGGTTACAAATATCTAATCATCCCTAGACCCTACATGATAGGATCCTCATGCGTTGAGCTGTTGTATATGTGGAACAAGATTGAGGCAAAATTTTCAAAATAATAAAGAACTATATTTTTGGTAACACAAAAAGCTATGCTAAAATTACAAGTCAATAATATGAATAACAAGTAACTCCACTGACGAGAACTTAGAGAACATGATTGAAAAGTGTGATCAGTGGTGAACATGTGTGTGTGTGTGTGTGAGAGAGAGAGAGAGAGAGAGAGAGAGAGGAGGTCAATGGAAACAAGAAGTTCTAAATATATAAGTAATGCGGTGAAGATTGATCAAAATTTGTTTTTAGTAGAGTTCAATGAAGAGTTAAGATGGAATATTGTCAAGATTGTTGAAAGAACTTGTCTTGCTAGTTTCTCCATTTCTATGGGGGTGGGGCTGTTTCTTGGTTGTGTAGTGTGGTCAAAGAGGTGTGTGTATGGAGAAGGTCAGAGTGGTTTTTCAGGAAGTTTTGTAGCAATGATTATCATCTATAGGTTGAAATAAATTATAACAGGTTTGGGAAGTTCCTTACGATATCTAGAATCCATTTGTCTAAGAGAAGGGGCTTCATTTCTGTTCCTCAAGGAGGCGACTATGCTTGTTGGAGTAAGTTTCATACCATATTAAATTGTATCTTGAAGAGTGGTAGGAATGAAAGGAATGCTACATTTACACTGAATCCTGTGAATCATGCATTTTTTTTTTGGGGGGGGGGGGGGGGTGAGATCATTGAGAAGAAAGAGGTGGAGGGTGTGGATATTGGGAGTAATATTGCATATGGTTCTGATTTTGGTAAATGGAAGGTAGTAGTGGTTTCCATCAGGGAAAGTATTTTCATTCATGGAGTTGGATTAGAGATGCTTTGTTTTTTAAGTACAATTGTGAAATTTTGTTGAATAATTCCAAGGGGATAAGGCTATATTTTTCTGCGAGAATAAGGATTATGTAATTGATATATGTAGAAATGAAGAGATTGTTACGGAGAAGGTGGGTATAGTAAAATTATCCAAATGGGTTCCTCAAATAATTGGTAGAAGCGATAAAATTTCTTTTTTGGGAGGGTGGATTGGAATTGAAGGGTTACCTTTTCATCAGTGGAATGAAGATGTTTTTAGAAAAATTGGAGATTGGTGTGGTGGCTTGTTGGCTATGAAACACAGATATTTCGTTAAGGTCGACGTATCTATGTCGGATATGATAATCATCGGATACTTGATAATACGTAACGGGTACAAGGTTCAAAGTATCTGACTCGGCCGAGTCATATCCGCCTCGGCCATCACCGATCCGATTCCGCTACATGGTACACGAATAACACGAGACTCAAGCGAATCGGCCTTGACTCGGTGACGACTCCGAGATATCGGTTGAAATTAGAGTTGAATCGTTTGAATCGGACCGATTCACACCGAGTTGGACTGAATCATCAATAAATCAATGTAAAAAACCCAGAAAAAGAGAAGGGGAGAAGAAGAAGGCCAATTGCACAAATAGATTCACAGACCAAAAGATGCAAAAACCAAAGTAACAAAAATCAACAAACTCTAAAATAGAAATTGAACAGATTTGGAGAAAAACCTGTAGATTTGTATAGTTATTGAGTTACATACGGCGGCTATACTGTACAAACCCTTCTTCTCTATTCGAGCGTCATAGCAGCAACGCCGACGACAGCTCCTCCATTCGACGACAGCTCCTTCTTCTCCATTCGACGATAGCTCTTCAGCCCCTTTTTCTTCGAACAAGTAACACCGACGGTAAGTATATATGACGCTCTCTCTTTCTATCTACCCCTCTCTCTCTCTCTCTGCTGCTTGGGGCTTTTGTGCCTTGGTTGGTCTAAGTCTCTCAATTGAGTCAATTATTATATACTAAATATTATTATATAAGACAAATAAGAGTTTCAATTTTTAATAAAATCATACTCTTATTAATTATATACATGTAAAAACAGATTTTACAATTAAAAACATAATGCATATGTAATTTATAAGTATGATAAAATTTCCCAAAAAAATTTATATATTTTGAAACATAACTTAATATAATGTTTTCTATATTTTTCAACTTTTTTTACTATGTATAATTAAGTATTAAAGTTATATTAGATCTAAATTTATTCTTATGATAAAAATAACTTACCCGATTTGTATAGTTAACTTAGAGACAATAATTACGATTTGAATCTTATCTATATAGGATATATGATGCATGGATTATGTTGTATATATTTTTTAATTTTTTTGTAATTTTATTAGAATTTTTTAGGTCTTCTATCAAGCATTTTACGTGTATCGGCCGATATAGTACCACGACGCCGCGACTGATGTGTATCAGTGCCCTCCGAGTTGAGATCCGATACGGCGACCTTAAACCATGATGGGGTACACACCAACAACAATCAAAAATTTTATTTCAGTGTATTGTTTCAGTCACCTAAAAAACGAAAACGTTTCGACTTATTTCGGAAATGTTTCAATCTGTTTCAGAAACATAATGAAAAAAATAAAAAAAATAAGAATTATTTTTCTAAAACATTGGTTGAAATATATTAAAATATCTTGAAACATTTAGAAACAATTGTACAAATGTATTGAAATATTATAAAATATCTCAAAAAATAATAGAATACCTTGAATCATTAGAATTTCGATTCTATTACTGATTCGTTTCAGTCTCCTTAGAAACGAAAACATTTCAGATGTTTAGACCGTTTTAAAACGATATTTTGATACTTGCACACCAAACGTATCCAATAATAAATAAAATATATGGATATTTCGTGGATACTTATATATGTAGAGAAGTCTGTAATTTTAGTTTTAGTCTTTACCCTTTCCTTTTGATTTCACCTACAATGCATGCAATACATCAATAAAAATTCATATGACTTGGAATGCACATGGGGTGTTTTTCAAGTATTGTCCATTATCACATGTTCAAAGAGCTTAAATGAGTTGATTACTCTATAATCTTAGCAACAAATACGTCTAAGCAAATAATATAGTTAAAATGTTAGTTCTTATTCCTTTAATTAATCACGTTTGCTTTGTAAATGTACCATAGTGAGATGATAGATAACTTTTTTAAAATCAAAAATTGTTAATATTATTTATTATTTTTAAAAAATACTAAAAATTATAGCTATCAAGTCATTATATGATAGTAAAAACATAAAATATATATTTATAAATGTATCTTAACCGTACCCGTATCCTATATTTTTGGGTTTTGTCGTATTTGTATCGTATTATATCCGTATCCATGCTTCATAGTTTGCTGGAGATTGATAGAAATACTTTGACTATGCAAAATTTGTTCCAGGCCAAAATTAGGGTTGGTAGATGTGAAAAATGAATTATTCCATCTATGTTCAATGTCGAATATCAAGGTACATGTTATCAGGTTAGAATCAAGGTTATTTCAAAGCTTGGAGTGGCTGTTAGTGATAGGATAAAGCTTCAGAGGCTATATGGTGGGATGAAATTTCGATATAACCATCGAGATGTAGAAGATGATGACGTGGTTAGGGATTCATTGTGTGGCTTAGAAGGGTAGGAGGTTGTACAAGATTTGTGTGCACTACAAGGTAAAGAGATGGAAAATGAGCTTGAAATAAGGGATACTGTTCCGGATTTTTGGTTAGTTAATATTGAGAGAGAGGCGGTAATTATATATAATCAAAATTAGTTTGGAGCTAATTCAAATTTTGAAAATGGAGGAATAGAAAGTGGGGTTTGTTAGATGATTAAGGGAGTTAATAAAGCAAGGCTACAATTGGGCCATGATTATAGATTGGGCTGTGAGAGTAATGGGTGCAAGTTTGGTCTTCTGAAATTGGGCCAAATCTGTTTTGGGTCACTACATTTTACTGGTGTGGATAAGATAAAAAGCCCGTTACTAGTGGGTAGTTCAAAGCAAAATCTGTATGGTTTTACAAAATAAAAAAGGGCCCGACCCAAACAGCATCACAAATCCATTTTCTCATGACCCGACATCTGATGTATTGAAATTTGGGGTTGATCTTGTTGATGATGAAATTGAAGGAGAGACGTCTCTGGCCGGAGAAGAAGACCTATAAACTGATATGGAAAATACAAAAAAAGAAGGAGATGAAGAAGCGATAGCAACGAAAGGCTCTGAAGATAATGAATGGGATAGAGATTAGTCGCTAAGTGAATGGGCAGAAGGTTTCGATACAATAGATGATCTGTGACGGGATATCGAAGAAATCTAGGAGAAAGTTACATTGAGGAAGAAAACCTTTTTAATATAGGTTTGCAAGATTGTCCAAAGCTATTTCTCAGGATAGATCGCTGAGTGATGAGTTATCTTCAGACAATATATCAAAAGTGATGGAATCTGATTGTGAAATTGGAGGGTTATTCGAGTCAGAAGAGGAGGAAGAATGGCTTATAAATAGAGGGGGTTCAAGGTTAAGGTGAGAAATTTGATTTAGGGGTATGTTTGGTAAGTTTGATCGAACAATTGTCCATTAATTTTCCTCCTTTTCCATTACAAAATCTTTATGGGGAGTTGGAAATCTAGTGTAGTAGGGGGCATGGGATTATTGATTCCTTTCCATCTTCTTTTCAGAGGAAGAGTGGTTTTGGGGTAGTGATAGTTTATTAGGAGGGGGATTCTTCTTTTCTTGTTGATAATGGTTCGAATGGGCAGAGGAAATTAGTCAATTGAGTCCTGGTAGGGGAACAAAAGGAGGAGTGTAATTCATTGATGTGTTTTGGGAATAAAATGCTACAGGAAGTTTAGTTCAAAGGGATTTTGTAACACAACCTATTAAGCATAGTGATTGTCCTTACCAAGAGAAAGACTCTTTTATGCCAGAGATATGAGAGGAAGATTCCAATGGGGAGGAGAGACTTTTATCTTTCTGACGAGGAGAAATGGACCATTTTGATGAAATTTTTAGAGAAAATGGATTTGTTCCTTAGTTTATAATAAAAGAAAAGGAAAGGAAAAAGGAGGTGGAAAATTTGAGAGAAAAAATAAAGGGATGAGGGAACTAAAAAGTTTACAGTTTTGGATCAATTATGATGGTGGTGTGTCTATAAAGAGTGATGAGGGCAGAGAGAGTTTCTTATGAAGATTATTAGTTGGAATGTGAGACGATTGGGTTCTAAGGAAAAGAGAAGAGCCATATGAGAGGTATTGATTAGAGAGGGGCTGGATGTGGTTATTTTGCAAGAAATATTGAAAGAAAAATGATGAAAATTGTGTGGGAAGCTAGATATAAAAATTGTGTTTGGTTACCTTCCATTGGAAGGTCGGGGGGTATTATGATAGTATGGGATACGAGAACTGTTAAAGTTGATGAACATGTGGAGTTTGAGTTTCCAATTTCAGTTAGAGTCGTGCATAATGATGGGTTGGAGTGGTGGTTAACTAGAGTGTATGGTCCAAATTGTTCTATAGAGAGAAGGAGATTGTGGGAAGAATTGGTTGGTTTGTATGGTCTTTGTAGTACCCATTGGTATTTAGGTGGTGATTTTAATGTTATAAGTTATGTGTCTTAAAAACTGAATGGTACAAGGGTAACTGGAAGTACGAGGGACTTTGACTCTTTTATTAGGGAGACGGGACTTAAGGATATTCTTCTGGCCAATGGTATGTTTACTTGGTCTAACTTTAGAGAGAATCTAGTGTGTAATAAATTGGATAGGTTTTTGTTCTCTGTAGAATGGGAGGAACTATTTATGGGGGTAAGGCCGGAATCACTCTCCAGAGTGGTGTCAGATCATTGTCCTATATTGTTTGATTTCAATAAAGTAAGATAGGGGCCATGTCTTTTTAGGTTTGAAAATATGTGGTTAGAACACTTAATATTTTAGAGTCCATTTTAGAGAGTGGTGGGAGGAGGGGCATTTTCAAGGATGGGTAGGTTATAAATTTATGAAAAAATTGGAATATGTGAAGTAAAGAGTGAAGAGTTGGAATAAGGAAGCATTTGGGGATATTCGAATTACAAAACATCTCATCATGAATAGAATTGGAGAGATTGATAAAATTGAAGAGAGATGGGGATTGGAAGAAAATTTAAGGAGGGAGAGATGGGAGTTGAGAAATAGATTTGAAGATGATGTGTTTAAGTAAGAAATTAGTTGAAGATAAAAGGCAAGAGTGAAGTGGCTAAAAGAAGGGGATAATAATTCTAAGCTTTTTCATATAGTTGCCAATGGAAGGCAAAAGAAGAAGTTTATTAATAAATTGGAATTGGATAATAGAGAAATTATTGAGGAAGAGGGGTTAATTGAATGTAAGATTGTTGATTATTTCTCCAATTTGTATGCAAGTCTGGGGAGCGTGAGACCAATTTTGGAAGGTTTGGAGTGGAGTTCAATTGATGAGGGAATGTTCAGTTGGCTTGAAATGCCTTTTGAGGGGGAAAAAGTGAGAAATATTGTTTTTGAGTGTGGTAGGGATAAGGGTCCGGACCCGATAGTTTCACTTTGGCAGTTTACAAAGATTGTTGGGATATTGTTAAAGTTGATTTAATGAAAGCGTTCAAAGAATTTTTCCAAAAATGGCGTGGTCAATGAAATTACTAATGCCACTTTTATTTGCTTGATCCTAAAAAAAGAAAACTCCATGAAGATGAGAACATGTACGAATCAATGCCACTTATAGGCACGGTGGCACCTTCTTTTATACTATAGCTACGTGGTGGTCCGTGCTTGATTCTTGAGTTAGATGGCTGTGATGGTCTAGCACCAAAAAAATAACCCTTAGTGGGACAACTGCTTGCATTTGATACCGAATGTCTCCAACCCTCTTCCTTCGTCCAAGCCTTTTGATGACTTTCCTTCATTGCTTGCTTTAACTGTCTACTTTCAAAATCATTTGTAGCACCCTCTTCAATTTGATTCTCACCATCTTGATTATCATCATCATCTAGGTTGTAAAGATCTTGATAGAGATCGAAAAGGGATTGGATGAGCTTAAATTGAAGAATTGAATTTTATTATTTGTTTTAGTATTATTTTATTAGTTAGGAAGTATTTGTTTGACTAAGAGTATTAATTTGAGTTTAACTAGGAAATTATTATAGAGTTTTAGTAGAATAGGGATTTGAGAGTTTGATTAAGAAACTCTTTTAATATTTTAGTAGGAAAGTAGTTTTTATTTTAGTAGGGGACTTGACCTATAAATAATGGTGTAATCCCAACTATTTTTAATTAGAGAGGGATATAATAAAAAGTGATTCTCTGTGGAGAATTTATGTGTTTCTTCACCGATTCCTTGCGAGGATGAGGTAAACCCCTTCCACCCCTCTTCTTTCTTCTTCTCTTTCTATTCTGTGATTTTTAATCCTTCCCATTCTATACCAGTTTGGTATCAGAGCCCAACTTCGATCATTTTTGATTGTGGTTGTGTTTCTTGAGATCCGTCTGTCATCTTTAAGTTTTAGTCCTTTTCAAAAAAAAACTTAGCAGAATCAAGTCCAACAAAAAAAAGTCACTGCCCACTACACAAAACCCACAACACAAAAATCAATACCCAAATCCACAAAATTACACAAACACCCCCAAGCCTTTTAAAATTATATATATGACCCCTTAGAATTTTGAAATTACACTTTTGCCCCCAAAGTTTCTAAAATTATATTTTGCCCCCAAAAATTTTTGAAATTATATTTTGGCCCCTAAGTTTCAGAAATTATAGTTTAGCCCTAGAATTTTCTGAAATTATAGATTGACCTCAGAATTTTCAAAAAAAAAAAAGTCCTTAAAATTCTCTTCTAATCAATATGGTTTTCAATGTCAAATTTGTTAGAATAGTTATTATATTTAGACTTAGGGGTAGTTTAATCATTTGTTTTCTTTTATGTTACCCTATCTTAGTTTACTATATAAAAACCTCTTATATGTAGTTTTTCTTTAAGCTTTGTTCTGGCTAATTGCGCCTCAATAATTTTCTCTTTTTTTTTTCTTACTTTTCTTTGATTGATCAAAATTAACATGGTATCGGAGTATGGTTTCGATCCAAAATATATATTGTGGTTTGTGAAGTTGGTACATTGGGATCTGTTATTTGGATTGCTATTTTTGTTGACTTGCTGCTGCCTCTTCTCTTCTGTTGGTGCTTCTTCTAGTTGCTAGTCTGGTTGTTTCTTTTTCGTTTGCTGCTGTTGTTTTGGGCTTTTGGATTGGTTTGTTAATTGGTTGGTTTTGTGCATTGGTGAGTTGTCACGTTGTTGGTTTTTGATTTGTTTGGGCTTGCTATTTGACATAGCGTTGCATTGTTTCGCACTAAATAAGCACCAAATTTTTGTTTCTATTTGTATTGTTTCGCATTGAATAAGCAGGAAACTTTTGTTTTCATTTGCATTGTTTCCCACTGAATAAGCAGGAAATTTTTGTTTCCACTTTTGATTGGTGGGTTTGAGCCTTTGGGACTGATTTTGTGAACGAATTGCTGGATGAGTATTTGATTTGCAAAGTTGTTAAGTTGATTTGTGGCGAACTTTGGATTGTTTGGCGTTGACTACTTCTTTTGGTTCTAGTTTCTGATTTTGACTACTGCTGGTTTAGGACTAGTTCTGGTTTGATTGTTTATTTTCTTTGTTGGGATTTGTTTTGTTGAGCATTGTTGCTGGTGGTTTTTTGTTGAGCTTTGATTTTCTGTTGGACCTCTCATTGCTATTTGATCGTCTCTAGAACTTCGTGCTTACTTTGATGCGGCCTGGGCTGGTGACTCTATAGATCGCAAGTCCACTACTAGTTTTTGTCTCTTCATTGGTGATTGTCTTATTTTGTGGAAAAATAAGAAACAAACTGTTGTGGCTCGATCATCTGCTGAAGCTGAGTATCATGCTATGACCTTCATAACAGTAGAGATAGTTTGATTGTATTAGTTACTTGCTGATCGTTTATTTACGAAATCTCACACCATCGCACGCTTTCGTTTTCTTCTTAACAAACTTTTGATGTTTAATATTACCACATCATGAATTTGAGGGGAGGGTGTTAGAATAGTTATTATATTTAGACTTAGGGATAGTTTAGTCATTTGTTTTCTTTTATGTTGTCCTATCTTAGTTTACTATATAAAGACCTCTTATATGTAGTTTACTATCTTAGTTTACTATATAAAGACCTCTTTATGTGTAGTTTTCTTTTACACTTTGTTCTGGCTAATTGCGCCTCAATAATATTCTCTTTTTTCTTCCTCTTATTTTTCTTTGATTGATCAATGTTAACAAAATTAAATGCTAAAGTGGAGGCTTTATGCCAAACACAAGTTGATTCACAAAAGGCTATAAATGCTAGACTAAATACAATTCAAGCATCCATCGATTTAGTGAGAGAACTTGTGCTCGTTACAGTTTGTGAAACCAAAACAAGTAAATGTTTTAATTTTGTCTTTTCAACTGTCAATCAAAAAGTGGTTGAACACAACCCTGTAGTTATACCACAAGTTCCACCACTACAAGTTACAATCCGATTGAATGACGATAAACTGAAGTTATTCAATGTTGATGAGCCCAAAAGTTCTACTTCTACTCATCTTACAACAATTACTTTTGATAAGCCAATTGCAAAGGGTGTTTCTACAGATGAAAAACAAGTTTCAATTGTAATTTTTTTAGATGGGGTTACTACTTTTTCATCAACATCCTCAACATCATTTTATTTGGAACAAAGTGTGAAGGTTATGAAGATTCGAGATATAGATTCCTCCTATTGTGATATCCTATATTATGTTATTGAAAGGAAATCTTACTTTTATGTGATCAGGTTTAAAGATGTGTTTCATCGTCTGATGTCAATTCTTTTGGAGTATTCTTGCTACAACAACTCTTTGGAAAAGAGTTTTTTTCAACCGGAGAGAATTGATAGAGATCGAAAATGGATTGTATGAGCTTAAATTGAAGAATTGAATTTTATTATTTGTTTTAGTATTATTTTATTAGTTAGGAAGTATTTGTTTGACTAGGAGTACTAATTAGAGTTTAACTAGTAAATTATTATATTGTTTTAGTAGGATAGGGATTTTAGAGTTTGATTATGAAACTCTTTTAGTATTTTAGTAGGAAAGTAGTTTTTATTTTAGTAGGGGACTTTGCCTATAAATAATTGCGTAATTCCAACTATTTTTAATTAGAAAGAGTGATATAATAAAAAGTGGTTCTCTATGGAGAATTTATGTGTTTCTTTACCGATTCTTTGCGAGGATGAGGTAAACCCTTTCCACCTCCTCTTCTTTCTTCTTCTCTTTCTATTCTGTGATTTCTAATCCTTCCCGTTCTATATCAAATCTTCATCCCGCAATGATTGTATAATTCGTTCTTTTTTTTTTCTTTATAGCAGTCCTTTCCATGCTATAACCACTGTGATGTTGTCTCAAAATTTGTGACATTTCTTTTGGTGCATGTGAATATGCTTCTACTTGGCCGGATACATGTGCAATGTGACTTTATTCGAATAATACCGTCATGAACTATTTTTCCACAATAATTGCACTTTACAATTCTTTGATCACCACCGAAAGGTGTTGCGTGTTTTCAACCAATATCATGTTGTTTAGGAGCCATTCTACAATGTAAAATTTAAAATAATTAATAAATAATATATTTTTATTGATTTAAAAATTTCAGAAATATGTAGGTCTATTTATCTTTCTTCTAATTTAGTATTTGATTTATAATTTTTTTGATTATTAAAAGACAATACTTCAAATTTTTATTCAATAAATAAGTAATGTGAATACAAATCTAATGTAATTGTAACATTTTGTTTTAAATAATCTGAAATAGAACATATATCTAATTATTACATTAAATTAAAAAAATATTGATCTTTTTTATTATTGTAAAATTTTAATGTATTTAATTATTACATTAAATATTTTAATAATTTATGAAATAGTAAATTTAATCCAAGTAAGATCTGGTAAAAAGTGAACCCAAAAATCAATTACCCATAAAATATAAATTAACTACACTAAAATATAATCAATTACCCAAAAAAAAAATAGTCTTTAAAGACTTGTTATTTACCAAAAAAAATAATAGAAGAACAAAGTCTTTAAAGACCCGTTGGCTTCCTTCAAATGCTTTGTGCGTCTCAGACGAGAGAGAATGTAAATCATCGGCAGAGACACGCTGAGAGGGAGTAACTAAGTAAACCATTGGCGATTCTTTGTCTATCAGGACTGGTTCGTAGAATCGCAGCAAAAGAGAAGAAAAACAAAAGAAGAATAGAAGAAGAACAGAGGAAGAAGAAAAAGAGATGTTGAAGATGAAGCAAGGAAGAATCTATGTGAGTGTGATATGTATTCGGTTTGATCTACACTCTATAGTTATGTCGTGAATCTTTATAATCTTCTTCGCTTTTATAGTTGTAAAAGAGGGGTGAATCGACAAATTTTCATATGATTTCTGCCATCCATGGTGAATTTTTATATGGGTTTCTTAATTTGTGGTAGTGGGTCTTTGATTTCTTTCTTTTCCATCTTTTTTTTTTAGTTTTTTGTGATTGATTGAGGGATTTTTAGGCTTTTATAGATGTGGGTCTTTGGACCATTTCTCTTTTGCTTTGGGTTTTTGCTCTTTGTCCCAGATTTTGGAGATTTTTCACTAGATTTGATTGTATCGGAATGATTCTAATACGAATCGGCTGAGTTATACCGAGTTCCTCTGATTTATGCCAATACTTATGAGTTTGACCGAGACATTGCTGATACTTTTCCAACTCGCAATTTTTTTTGTTTCGTGTACCGTTATCGTATCGGACTCGGCCGATATCTAAAACCATGATGAGGCCGGTTGGAGTGGAGTCCTATTGCTGATCATAAACTTTGTTGGTTGGAGAGACCCGTTGGGAGAAGAAAGTGAGAGATGCTATGTTTGAGTGTAGTAGAGAAAAATCTGCTAGAATGCATGGGTTTTCTTTGGCTGTGTCCCAAAATTGTTGGGAAGTAGTCAAATATGATTTAATGGAGGTTTTTAGGGAGTTTAATAACATTGGTGTGGTGAATGTGAAAAATTAATGCAAGGGGTTTGATGACAAGGGGACCTATTTTCCCCCTTTGTATTTACTTTGGTGGTTGATGACTTAAGTAGATTGGTTGAGAGGGGTTTTTTAGTGGGAATTGATAGGATTAGTGTTTTTTTAGTGGGAATTGATACGATTAATGTTCTCATCTTCAGTTTGTAGATGATATCATTTCTTGTTGTTAGGGGATGGGCACAAATTCCAGACTTTGGTGAATATTGTGAGGATTTTTAGACTATACCGAAGCCGAAAATGAATATGTCTAATAGTTTAGTTACGGATATTAATGTGCATAGGAGTAAAATATAAAGTTTGGCCAGGAGGTTGGGGCTGAGTGGCTATTAAAATGTGTGGGTTTTTTTGTTGAGAGGTAATCCTTCATCCTTATTCTATTGGAATCCTGTTGTGGAGATTACAAAAAAAACTAGATTGGTTGGAAAAAGGTTGTTGGTCTAAGGGATGGAGGCTTAGTTTGCTTCTTTATGCCTCTTCTTTAGATCCCTAGGAAGGTTACGAAGATGTTGGAGAAGATGACGATGGATTTTTTATGTGAAGCTGTGGAGAAGGGAATAAATATCAACTTGTTAGCTGAGAAGTTGTGTTCAAATCAAAATCAAAAGGGCGTTGATAATTGACAAAGTTTGATTTGTACTTCTTCTCAAGGGTATGGAACTTTAATTTTTTAAGTACTCTATATAATTGGGAATTTTTGGAGTTCTCATCACTTCTTGATTTCTTTGGACTCGTGGTTAGTGATCAAAGTTTGGTCTCTTGATTCTTCCAGAAAATTTCTCTTGTAGGCCCAATGTTTGAGTGATGCGTACTTATTCTGTCTTTGAACCTCACTTGATGATTTGGAATGGTAGAGCATCAGTCAAGGTGCAGGTGCATACATAGATGATTGTTCAGTGTAAGGTGAATTCTGGTTACTAGTTGCAAAAGAAAAGGAACACTAACCAATCCCCTGATTAGTTTATTGTGCAAGGCATGTTGTGAAAGTATCGATCACTTGTTCCTTCAAGGAATATGAGAGGAAATTGTATGACACATTGCTTAGGCTTAATAAAGTGCTTTAGAAGGCTATGTTTATCTTGTGACTGAGGTCTGAGCAATGATGCATCAAATCTCCCAGTAGCCATTCATCCAAACGAGAATGTAATTTTAAGGTCTCCATATTCAAAGTATCCCAAGTTGACTTGTATTTGCCTCTTTACCTATCTTCTAACGTTTGGAGAGGTAGTGGAATTTGTTTCCCTTTCTGTTTGTATTGCACTTGAGTGTATGTCTTCTGCTTTCAGAAATAAATAGCCTTAGCTGCCAAAGAAGAAAATTCAGGTACTTTGGATGAATAAGTTTGTTACTATGGCTTATAATTTCATATATGAATGAACATTTTGCCCCCTCATGCTGTCTTTACTGGCTTAATTCAGGGCTGGGGCTGGGGATTTGGTGAGCTTAAATAATGGCTAACCCTTATTTTCCCTTTTTACTCTTTATTTTCTCTCTGTAAGAAGAAAGGATTATGCTGATTCAAAAATTTAGAACCGTACATTTCAAAACCTCTCTCCTAGTAAAGGATCCTCAGATTAAAATTCTCACTAGTTATTCCTAAGCATGAATTTTCTGGAGCTCATAAGTTTGTAGGCTTCCGCTTGTTTTTATTCTATACTTGATATATTAGTTGCAGTTGCAACCATGTATCATTACAGTTTACTTTGGTATGATGTGAAGCATATGATCTTTCTTCCTTAATTTTTAATTTTGTTAATGAATTTCAAGAAAATAATTATTTCAAAGCATGGTTGTTATCTGCAGATGTTGTGCGAACTCTTCTTCCGAGTGTTATACCACCATCATATAGGGGTGCTACCATTCGTTATCTGTACTATGTTAGAAGTACATTATCTGGACAATATTTAATGCTGGAGAATGGACACTTTCCTGGAGAGTCAATACGAGATCTTGCTGAGCTGGTATGCTCCCTTATATTCCTTGATAGCTCTTTTGATTGTTTTCATCTTCATACTGATTGTGATTGTTGCTCAGCTATACAAATGTCATTTCTGTACAGCATTTTGGTGGTGGAACTGTCACAATTACATCTGAGTCTTGTATTTCTGTCACCAAAATCACTTTCAGTAATGACTTCTATGCCCATTTCTTGTTGGCTATAAGTTTTTTAAATTACTGCATGACAAATGGCATGGAACAGGTAATGGGTTACTATGGCTTTTTCATGTCTGTTTCACATTTACCAAATGCCTATATTGGAATTTGGAAGGGATGCTTGACTGAACAAGCGATAGTCTGCTATTATTTAGAAAGTTTGCCAAGTATATTTCATAATTAATAATGTTTTTCATCAGTAAGCAATCCCTTTTTACCTCTACATAAAAAAGGTCATATCTCGTGATACCTTTTTTTATGCTTTCTAGGAGTCTTAGCCTTGAAACATGTGGTAAAGTGAAACTGCCCGATACTCTCAGATTGGTCTCTTTTTCTACACAATGCTCATTTTGATGTTCCTCAATAAACCAGCTGAAGCCTCTTGGACTGTTTCATAAGCCATTGACTTTATATATATGTATCCAATTTTGGACATGAATCACTTCATACAACTTAAATGGACTACAAAATTCTAGGTTGCATTTTATTCCTTATATTGTTTTGCTTATTTCCATTTTTTTTGGTTTTAAATTACATTTGTCTATGTTATTGGAAATTTCATTTATGGGTCACCTATATCTCACTATTGGGACTGCGATAAAGATCTATAATTTTTGGATTACAAATGAGCAGCACAATATTTTGTTGAATTCCTATAATTGTTTGAGTTTGTACAAATATTCATTAAATAGATGTTTCCTACACTTTTTACCTGTGTCTTTCACTGTTTTATTTATTTATTCTTTTGGGAGGGGTTGACGTAGGTATTAGGTTTTGTTGGATGCTAAAGCCATTTTGTGATTTTATCATCATCCTGTCACCTTGTTATTATGATCCGTATTAGTGTTATTATTATTATTATCATTGTTGTCGTCATCGTCGTCGTCGTCATCGTCATCTTCTTCTTCACTTTCATCAGGAAGCCCGAATTCCCCTGCAAATATGGGTCACTCAGAAAACAAATGGCTTGCTAATTGAAGGAGGTCAAACTGATGGTAATCTTGTTTCTTTGCTCCCATTTGCTGTTAGCAACTTATAACTTGTGTTACTGATTTTTTGCTAAAACTTAACTGTTGAGGTTGGCTTAAAAATCATAATGTCAACCCACTGATTCAAACTTATCGTAATATTTGGAGTTGTGATAAATTGTAAACATCAGCAATGTATACTCTAGTCAAGATGTTCTTTACTTTTTACTAGGCTTTTACTTTGGGCTAGTGAAATTTGTTGGGTTTCTCATATCAACTGTTTTGGATTAAGCTTCACAGATGGCCTCTCTACTGCCCCTAATTGTCCATATTCAAAATTTGCATCAGTTCCTTGGTTTGTTTCTGGCTGCTAGATGACTATAAAATAATTTCAGTTGTGATGGATGATAGAGTGATTCTTGATGCCCACCTAATAAGTTGTGATCAAAATGTACTGCTTGTAGTTGTATATCCTGTTTTGCTTAAATTGAGTAATTATTGCAATTTTGTAGTTTTTATTTCCCCTTGAGGTAAAATTTCTAGGTGGATTTTGTTTTTGATATTTCACCGTAATAGTCTGAAGTGGATATATTTTCAATCAATCTTTCACCTTTTTGTATTACCAGTTGCAAAGTCTTTGGTGGATGTTCTCAACCCCCTCTCTCTGTGGCCCCCTCTCTATATCTCTCGTGTCCAATTAGTAAATGCAGCTAGATGGTAGAATCTAGTCATGATGTGAATGGATTTATAGTTCATTTAATATGATCCCTTTTGAGTATGGTTCAAAGTATTGGTCCATATGACTTGGCCAATTCATATTCGACTCTTCACCATTTGATACAATGCTATTCTACCTTTTGTTTAAACCACGTGTCTCACGCCACTGGTTGAATCGTTAGATACATCTTGGAGTTAATCATGAGTCATTTGAGCCATCGTTGTTGAATCGGCTTGATGTGAATATCTGGTTATATTCAACTTTTTTTTTATATGGCGTTCAGTAAGTATTGCTGGATACCATTCTGCGATGCAGCCACCAATTTGTTCTTGTCCCCTCTGAGTTGACGTTGATACTACGACCTTGAACCATGGGTTTGAGATCATTCTTGACCTATGAAGTACGGATACAAATGTGAGATATGAATATAGATACGACAAAACCTAAAAAAAAAAGGATACGGGTATGGGTAGGTTACGTCCATAAAATATATATTTTAAAAATTTTATTATTATATTTAATGTAATAATTATGATTTATAAAGTGAATTACACATCTATTAGGTAAGAAAATTCAACACCCAGCAACCAACACAATCAAAAAAATTCAACACCCAATAGCCAACAGTCAACCCAATCGCACGTCTATCAACAGTGTACTCAAGAAATTTCAACAACCAACATAATCACTAATATTTGTAGGCAGCAGCTGTAAAGCAGTAGTGGCAGCAGTGCAAATGCAGTTCAAAACGATTGTGTTGATCAGCTATATGTGTCATTTTTTCTTCAGACTGCTAAAAAAAAAATCCTAATTGCATACCCTAATTCAAGTCGTCAAAGTTTGTTTTGAGAGAAGAGAGAGACAGAGAGAGAGGCGAGAGAGATAGAGTGAGAGAGGAGAGAGCTTACCCGATAATACCAGGACATCAGACATTAGAGAGGAGAGTTGGGGAGACACTCGTCGATTGTCAAAACTTCACAGTATAAGGAGGAAGGAGACTTCGTCAGCGTCAAGAGATTGTCAGAGGTGAGGGAGAGAGAGGGGCAGACAAATAGCGTTAATCGACTGAGTGGGGGGGGGGATTCTGTCGAATTAAAGGTTAGGGTTTTCTTTTTCTTTTTTTGCAAATAAGGGCCCAACATATTTGTTCCAGTGCCCTTGTTCTTTTTTAGAAATTTAATTAATACCCCATCGTATCCCCATGAGGATCCCGTGCGTATCCAGCCGTATCTTAACGTATTCGAAATTCAATTTTTTTTTTTAAATTCTAGGACACTTCCCAACCGTATCAGATACGTATTCAACTGTATCAGACGCGTATTCGATATTGATACTTTGATCCTTTTGAAGTATCCGTGTTTCATAGTTCTTGGCTAAGATATATTTTATTTGAGTGTTTCTATTGATTTCTTTGATAACTAAGTTCATTGAATGTGTTACAAACGAAACTGGAAAAATCATAAGCCCTATTATCAAGGTTGTCAAAATGTGTATCGGAAGGCATATTGTTTTTAAAAAACAGTGTATCACGAATCATAACATATCGCATATCGTAAGATACATACAGTTTTATAAAAGATATTAAAAAATACATATACCTATGACAAAATGTCATAATAATATTTCATTGCACCACAAATTTCTCAAATAAAACAATTTAAAGAGACTAAGGACCAAAACATACAATCTAAATATTGAAGTTTCTAACATAATTCATCAATATCAAAATTTAGAGAGTTTTAGTTCTTACATCTAAAGTAGTTGAAGGAGGACACTTTTAACAATTAAATTATTTGCTCCTATGATGGAATGAATAAAAAAGAAGATTTCTATTTCTTAAAAAACTGTAGATGGTGAATGACATCGTTTTATTACCTAGTGTTTAAAAAAATTACTTCAAAGTGAAAGATAATGTTTTTTGGTTAAAATTCAAAAGAAATTTTTTTGATCTGTTTCGTCCCGTATCGAAAGACTCGTACGTATTTTCTGATATATCGAGTGTATCATATCATGTATCGTATTATGTATCGCATGATATAATGCAAACCGATACACTTAAGCGATACGTATTGCTTTCTTCCAGTATCGCAACGTATCGTATGTATCGTATCGCGTATCATATAATAATAACACCTATGGCTAGCATTACTTCTATAGTTGAAGCTCACCAATAATCAGAACAAGTTTAATGTGCCCGACGACCGAGAGTACATGCTTTGATGCATCTTGCATTGCAAACAAAATCTAACAAACTAAAAATATGATGAGGGAAGTGAGGATGGAAATGCATGGCTAGCCATAGCTGTGAGTTCATCTTCATCTAAACTTGTGGTGTACTAGGAAGCACAAACACCTTGTTTAAACCAAATTGTCAGTGTTGGACGGCCTTAGACACGTATTGGACACACTTATCAATGTCTGTTCTTTTCAAATTATTTTTTTTCTAAACACATTGGGGATATGCAACTGACACTTTGGGATACACAATCAACACTCACGGTTTTGGATTTTTTTTTTCCTAATTTCTTAGAACATGTCAAGTAACTTTGTAGATGTGGAAGTTATTTTACAATACTAATAATATAGGGATCACAATAGTAGTATGGAAGAATTCTAATCACTTTGCAGACATTAGAAACAAAAATAGATGTAATATTGGACACGACCACAAAATAAGGCTACAAAATTAAATAAAAGCGTACCACTTTATTTATATGCAAATAATTTGATGAAACTTAGGGTTACTTAGGACTCTTTGTAATTGGATGAGACCTAGGGTTATGAAGGTTTTTTGATATTGAAATTGTATTAATTGTTGTAGTGTGGATCATGGATGTTTATGATGAATTTATATTGGTATGATTATGTGATGCCAATTGTTGGAATTGTAGAATTGTTGAATTGAGTGATTATTATTATGGTTTTATTTTTATTAGCAAAAAAAAAAAAATTAGCGGTAAAAGAGTAAAATGCGATTCATTGAGGGATAAGAAGTCCACCAAGGAAGAGAAGGAATAAAAAAGACAAAAATAAAAGTGCAAATTACATGAGATTTTCCTATACTCCATTAAAAAAAAACAATATACAAGACCCACAGGCATTGGGGACTTTGACACCTAAAAAGAAGCAAAAAGTAATTCTTTTTCCCCACAAAGCAATCTCATCGTTAAACTTATCTTCAAAGATTGTAGCATTCCTCTCTAATCATAAAATCTCAAGAGTTGTCATCTCTGCACATCTCCATAGCATATATGCCTTCTTGCTTTTACTAAACGCTATAAAATTCAATCATAAACATTGTCTCACAAGAAAATGAAGCCCAAGACTCCTCTGCCAATGAAAGTAATTTTCTCCATAATAATATTACCATCAGGTTTCGTAAGATAACTGTTTGGAATTGTTGTATTAATAACTTGATAGTTGATGTCTTATGATTTGTGGAATTTTAACTCTTGATTTGATAAAAAATGGTAGCATTCTATTATATGATGATATATATGTATAACATGTCCCTCACTGTGTCCTTGTCGTACATTTGAATGCCAAACATGGCTGATTTTATTGGCCTTGAATTGGTCCAATGTAGTCATGAGTGAGAATGTGATTTGTAAGTTCTTATGCTCAGCACGATGACACTGCCTTGCAAAACAAGATTTAGTATGTGTGCTGATACAGTCAGCCAGGAGAAGACAACATGTTGGGATATTCAGTTTGCTTCATATTCACAACATAAAAATAAAATTATACTCATGTTAGTCCCATTAATAGTCATGATATTACCCTAAATAACAAAGCATTTTTTTTTTTTTTTGTAATCTGCATGGGCACAAGTCAAATAAGCGCCCAATTCTTATCACAAGTTCACAAAATCTCACTACTTGATTGTTCTCATGTATGATGCTTGTGCATGTAACTTATCCTATTACACAATATAGATTTTTGTTGTTCTTTGACTTTTTAATAAAAAAAAAGAAGAAGCATTACACTTTAGGGTTAATTGCATTAGAGGTCTATAAAATATATAGTTTATCTCATTTTGGTCTCTATTATTTCAATTGCATCATTTTGGTCCCTGAATTATTAAATATATTTCTATGTGGTCCCTCACGTGGACAACATTCAAATTTCTAACGGTTTTTGATCATAAACTTGTCACATGATACCTAAATATGAGCAAAAAATAATTTGGGTAGTTCTTGACAAAATGTGTAATATAAGTAGCTCTTGACCAAAATTTGGATAATTCATGATCAGAATTATATAATTTTGATTGTTCTTTGACCAAAATTTAGGTAGAAATTTGGTTAAGAATTATTCAAATTATTTTTTTTGCTCATATTTAGGTATAATGTGACAAGTTTATGATAAAAAATCGTTAACATACCAGATGTTGTCTACTTGAGGGATCATATAAAAATATATTTAATACTTCATGGACTAAAAAGATGCAATTAAAATATTGAAGACCAAAATGAGACAAACCCCATACTTTAGGACTTCCAGTGCCATTAACCTTAAACTTTAATTTGGACCATTGATTATTTGCAATAGTGGAAAATAAATTCATATTGTTTTGCTATCAAGTTTTGATACTCATGGTGCGATCTTGTGCGTCACTCTATGTGAGTTTTAATTGTGTAACATGTCACATTAATTAGTATTTATTTATTTCATGTGCGCTAACTGTCTAGTATGATTATCTACTAAAAAGTTGATCAGTTCTATCTATGGAGAAAAAAAGTTTCGAGTATGATCACCTGCTTTTTGGTGTTGCCAGGAATTGTTCCTGCTATAACCATCATATTGGATGTATATTGGAGAGAGATGGACAGAGACTCTGATTGGGTAAGCTGTGCGGGTTTCGGTTATTATCATTCCTTTTCTTCTTTTACTTCGAAAAAATATGTTATCTTGCCTTTTGAAGTCTAGTACTTTATTTTTACTAACGTATGACTAAAGAGTGGATCAGTGCATGACGTCCCCACCACTGTGGGGTGGGGGGAGGGTCAAATGTACTCAGCTTTACCCTCGCATGCACAGCTGCTGTTTTTGCAACTCGAACCATTGATGCCCAAGTCACAATGGAGCAATCTTACCTTATGCCAAAGCCCAACCCCTATTAACTAATGTATGACTAATAACGTGAAAATAAAGTAGTGTGGCTACTTTGATTCTGGGGTAAAATAGTGCTAGTTTTGTACAGGCTAGAGCTAATGAAACATATGATGGAGTTGAGGAAGGTTATGAAAGCTCCAGGGATGAAATCTCATCTGTTTCTTCTTATAATCCCACCAAGGAAAATATAAACAAAGCTTTTGGAAGTTCGTTGTCCTTGCAATCATCTGTAGCAAGGTCTTCAAACAGAGATTCTCCATATATTGAAGAACGCACTAGCATATCTTCACATTTGGTGCTTCCTCGGCTGTCTGTGGCAGAAATCTTATATGATTCTAGTGGGGGTAAGCTATTCTTGGAACGTCACAATTTATTATGTAAACTTGATTTGTTATTCTTTGTCAGAAACTGTTATTTGTACATGCCTGTTCGTCTTGCATTATGTTACTGTGATAATTTTGTTGATGATCTTCAAAGCATGTCCCTGAAGTAACTCATTGAGTATTTATATCATCTGCGATTGAGTTGTAAAACTTGCATTTTAAATGATCATTTATCTTTTCAACCAGATGTTTTATCACCCCAGAAGGCATCAGCTATGGTCTCTCCAAGTCAGCAGATAAAACATGTAAAATCCCTTGCCACGGATGATGAATCAAGAGGCCCATCAGTCCCAGGAACTGTGGAACCTATAGCATGTAAATCATCTTTCTTTCTATTGTTAAATGATCTAATCTGTAGTTGTCTTTATACTATGTATCTGATGACTCATTTAATGTATTAGTCCTTCAAAACTAATTTACTACCAGCATTTTCTGCAGCAGAAGGCTTTATTCGAGGAAGATCGTACAATATAAGGCTGGATGACCAAGTTCTTTTAAGATTTTCCCCGAAGAATTCTGATGCAACTTATTATTTCAGTGATATGGTAGTTGCACTTGATTTATGGTCTTTTTTCTACTGCAAACCAATGAATATTATGGAACGAGACGAAAGGGAAAGGACATAATCTCATAACCCCAGGTGTTGTTCAGTGGTTGATTTTGGCCTTTGGTAACTCAGAGGTCTCAGGTTCAATCCTTCCCATATCCCCTAAGGGCCAGCCACTCTTGTTTTTCAGGGACATGCTCTAATTCGGCTCAACCTATGGTGGCAGCCGCCGAGCTTGAGGGAGTAGTCGGTTTAAGTCTGGACACCCTGTAGAAAAAAAAAAAAAAAAAAAACATAATCTCATACCTCTTCGCACACTTTTGCCTAATGATCTACAACCAAAAATAGCAGAGTACCTTGAAATTCTTTTGAAGTTGATGCCCATGGGAATTCCAAGAAAGAGAGATTTTATCCCACATTTCATCCAAACGATGCTACTCTTTCATCAATATCTTCCCATTACTTTCCAATCAAACCACCCATAGCATAGTCAATGCTTCACATTTCTCTAAACTTTTAGCTTCTTTGGTAAAACCAAAGCCTCCAAAGTTAATGATAAATACTGATTCACAACATTGCAGTTTCACTCAAGGAATCCCAACAATCAACCTTCATCACAGATTCACAGTTGCACTTTATTTACAGTCTTGTGCTGGTTCTTTTTTTGGGCAAGTCTTATGCTCATTCGCCATTCATTTAACATCAGTCTTTTTACTTTCTGTAACAGATAGGTGGTACTCTTACTTTCTTTCATGAAGAAAGAGCTAGGAGATGCCTTGAGGTACTTTTATTTTTCAGGGAAAAAAATGAATCATTAATTGCCACACATGGTTTTTTTGTTTCTGTTGTTGCTTCATGGAGTTGACTGGCCTGATTTTTTTTTTTCAGCTTTTAATAACACTAGAGTTGTCAGAGACTATAAGTCGTCGTTCTGTCCATCCTTCTCGAAGACATTCACCTACAGTTACTAAGGTATACTTTCTAATTATAAGTTGTGATACCTAGCTTGATCATTGAGGACTTTGGATGTAAAATGAAGTTTCATTAATAGTGATAAGCCAGAAATCTACGTAAAACCTTTGTCTTGTGGAGTAGTCTTTTTAGTTAGTTGAAGGTATTAACTCTCTTCTCTTCCTGTTCCAATGAAATTCCTGGTGATCCTTGAAAATGATTGTCACTAACTCACTATCTTTTATCAGATCGATGGTTAGACATAAAAATACTAGCTCAGTATGTGGCCTAGTATGGTTATACAAATTTTATCATGAGAACCCATTTTTCAGAAGCATTCAGCTTTAGTAAACCTTGAAAATTATGAATTTTTTCGCCTTGTTATAGAAGTAGATGTATAGATTAAACATGTTTTTCCCATACAAATTGTAATCCCTTTGGAAGTCTATTTTATCCTCTTAAGGCTGTTGTAGCACTATGATAAAGTGCTAACTGCTAACATGGTACCCAGGAGCAGGGTGACATTAGGGTCCTGATTTCATTTTCAGTTGCAAAATGATATCAATTCTGAGCCAGTGGCCTCTGACTGGTGTGTTGAAACGGGAATGCCATTGCTAGAATTGTGCTGTTTATCTTTATTAAGGTGAATCTGGGTTCCATGCTTATTATTTCTTCTATAGAATCTATACTCTATAATCAATAGTCAGCCAGGTCTATATTGGTGTACCTTTCCTAATTGTCTTTAGCTGTCTTGAGAGAAAGTAATTGTGATAGTTAGGTGTCAATAAAAAGAGATCAAACAGAGGTAGGGAGTAGAGAAGAGAAAGTGAAACCATAAGGTGATGGACATGTCTCTAGTGTTTCGCACCTCTTTTGACTGTCTAAACTAGGAATCTGGGAAGATTGATTGTTAATGTGCAATTGGAATGGTTCTCTTATAGACCCTAACTCATGGAAATTTACGCTTAAGACTCTTTATACTAGATGCATCCAGTGAAAGTTGGTAAGATGAGGATGCTTCCAAACAACATGGGCAATCTTAAGTAAGTTATACCTTGTAAAGCAAGGATGATAACATGGGAGAGGGATATGAATGAATGCTGATACTGCAATCCTGCTATGCTACAATACTCTAATGACCAAATGTATGAAATGGAACTAAAGAAGGTATGGTTTTGTGGAGTTGTGCTTTCATAGTGATTTTTTGGAATATTTGGACAGAGAGGAACTCCAGAATATTCAGAAATCAATACTTTACATTGGCATTTGGTTTGGGACATAATTGTATTTCACGCCTCTTTATGGTCTAAGTCCGCAGGGAAGTTTTGAGGTTTATCTTTAACAGATCTTCAAAGGGATTGGAAGGTGGCTTAGTTTAATGTTTTTTTCTTATCTAGTTTTTTTGTTTTTTCTTTGTGAGGATATCTTGTCCTCCATATTGTAATTTTTTATCTCTTATCAACCTTAATAAAATTCTTCTTTTATAAAAAAAGAAACTAATAAGAACGATACCTATAGTAGAGAATCCACGAGAAGAGATTTTAATGGCCAAATACAAGGATCGAAATTTCGTTTCAGTATATTGTTCACCTAGGAAATGAAATCGTTTCGAAAACAAAATGAAAATAAAAAAAGAAATTGAAATTTATTTTCATAACATTCTGAAACATTGATCAAGATATTTCGAAATATCTTGCAACATTTCAAAAGATTAATTGCAAAATGCCAAAATATCTCAAAATATTTTAAAACATTCCGAAACATCTCAAAGCAATGAAATTTCAATACACTTGCTGATTTATTTCAGTCTTCCTTGAAAATATAAATGTTTCAGCCGTTTTAAAACAAAAATTTGATCATTGGTCTTGTACATGAGAGGGTACATGGTGTACATGCATTTGAAGTAGGGAATAATGATGGAGATTTTGTTTTAGATTTTGCCATTTTAAATGTTCTCATGATAGCAAATACTAATTTTGAAAGAGGGATGACATTTATAACTTTCAAAAGTTGATTAAATGAAATCCAATTAGATTTTTTCCTACATAGACAAGTCGATCGTATATCATGTAAGAACTGCAAGGTTATTCCAGGAGACAGCTTCTCCACAATCCACAACATAAGATAATGATGCTAGATGTCTATGCTACAATATTAAATTGGAGTCTCGATGCTCTGAAAATATAATGGAGTCTCATTTGGTTATCATGTCTACTTGTGCAGGTTTTCAGTGATTACCATGAGGTAGTTGCTGATTTGGTGCAGACAAGCTTTCTCTTTTCCATTCCCATGGATGGGCCCATGTCTTTTTCCACTCGCCATGTCTCTGTGCAATGGGCTCTTCGGTTTGAATTCTTTACGACACCGAAGAATGTAGACTGGACCAGGTATTACAATTGAATGGACCACACAAGCATGTTCTTTTGTTGCAAAAAGTTCTCATGATTTTAACTAATACAACTGCATATCAAAAGGTTGTATGCCTGTGTTGAGTAATCAGATCTATCTTATGGTACTTACATCAGACATGGCATGCAAATAGGATATTTTGATAAGAAACATGTGTTATGTTGGGAAGGATAAGAGAAATCATCATTACAAGAACAATTTGCTGGGTCTCGTACTGCAGGAGGGTGGGTCATGAGCATGCAAGCAAGGCAAAGAAAAGAATTGTGTGTCCATTATATAGATGCATCTCTCACACAAATTAGAATTGTACACCTTCATACAACATAAATTTTACAAATTGAACATTTCAAACAATGTTCTAAATAACCTTCTCCCTCGTTGGCCACAATAATATTTTCCAAGACTTAAGCTCCACAGAGAGTGAGTTGTTTATTTTTCACCCCCCTTGAGCATAAATTTATGTTTTGTTGGTTCATATAAGAGCAATGACTAAATCTTCACTATCTTTCATTTGTATGTAACAATAGAATGACACAGATGCTATCGTTAGTCCTGATGCCCCTTCAATATCATCCATGCTATGGTAGGTTGTAAAACTGGAAGTTACCGCACCGCCTGGCTGTCATACTTTTCCTTATTCTCTTTCTGTTCTAGAAAACAAAATCCTCCACTCTAGGGGCACTATTTCTTGATATGAAACTCTAATGGAACCCCAATCCTAATCATATAGATGGACATGTTATTGTTCTAAAGTTCCTGTGAATCTATAGGTTTGTGGGAGATGGAGAAGTATCAACGTCTTCTCTGTTTTCTTTGGTCCAACTCATGACATTCTAGAAATTTCATTTTTATTTTATATGAAATGAGCAGTATATATATTTCTCAATTTAGCTATATTGGAAGGTAAATAAATACCCGATTTTATAAAGAGAGAGAACACAAAGAATAAAAGAATAGGGTGCCTTCTCAAAGGATCACTGCTTGTTGCAATGATAAAGACTAATCGCGGGAATGTGTGTTTGGCATGGAGGAATACTACTCATGGCAAATAATGCTTATGGGCAAGGATCAAAATATCATTTTGAAATGATCGGAACGACTTAAAACATTTTCGTTTCTGAGGAAACCGAAACGAATCCGTGATTGAATTTTATTTTTAATGCTTCAAGGTATTTTAGAATATTTCGAGCTGTTCGAGAAGTTTTAGATTTTCAGCATGTTTCCACCTAAATTTTGAAATGTTTTAAGGTGTTTCAAGATATTTTGGTATATTTCGACCAATGTTTCGAATTTTTTTTTAAATAAATTCTCAATTTTTTTTTTCATTTCCATATTGTTTCTGAAATGTTTTCGAAGCATTTTTGTTTTTTGGGTGACCGAAATAATGCAAAGAAACGAAATGGATGTAAGATCCTTTTGAAGGTTATTGCCAAAAGAAAAGATGTAAACACTATATAGGGGCTGTTGATCACTCTTTTGTAACATTTGGGGGTTTGAATGAGCTACTAACTCTTCAACAACCAGTTGATTAAGCACCATCTGCTTACTCATAAGCCTTCCGTGACATGTAACTACCAAAAAAATTGGTCTTTCATGTGCAGTTGTCATGGTAAAAAAATAGTCTACGATCTGGTGCAAATACTATGTAACCCCAGTTACTAAACGTAGTTCATCCTTATAAAAACAATTATGCAGCTTTCTTGTGACATAGGCGAGATGTTATACATGTGTTTCTTAGGAAAGCCCATCAACCTAAAAATTAAGGATTTAAGTTTTATTTATATGAACAAGTTTTTAAAGCCCTGAGCACATTTTTTGTCCAACAAACTTTATACAAAATTCAATAATGCTATTGATTATCAGTGTTTTACTTCTCTGCAGAATGTGAAACATAAGGGTCTCTGTATATTGAGCACTACAATCTATTAAATGGTGATAAATGAGGCCAATTTTTGTTGAATACTTACCTTTGGGGGGAAGTTTGTTAAAAGGCAAGGCTAGATGAAGAAGGGCCTCTATATGACCTGTAGAATCTTCTAAGAAAAGATAGTGGAACCCAATGTGGGGGTGACTATGAGGTTTAATACTTTTATATGAATCTCTATGGCACCTAGATTCAAAGGCCTTTTCTTTTGGGACTCAGAATAATTTGGTGGTTTAATTTGTTCTCCTGGTGGATTGCATATGGGAAAGAATTTGCTTTTTGCCCTCACTTTTCGGGAATTCCTTTGTCTTTAATTAGGGCGGATTGGAAAGTCCCTTCTGGATTGTATTTTTTTTTTTATTAGTTGTGTTTACGTACATTTAATTTATTTTTGTGTTTGTGAAGGACTTTTCACCCGTCAAATAAGTTTTTTCATTATCAATGAAAAGCTTTTGTTGATTATCCAGGAAACAATAGCACAAATGGTTTTGCTGGACAGTATGCTAAGACACTAAATAGCAACTGATGTTTTTATTGAAGTTTGGGTCAAATGTATGTTGAACAACTGGAGTTAATGAAAGGCTAGAGAACCCACATCAGTAGTTGACCATTATCATGGTATGAAATGCAGTGTCATCATCGTTAGATGGATCTGAGCTGATCTGTCTGTCACTAGGGAGGGGACTATTGATGTTTTAGTAGTGTCCTTGTTCTTTCTATAGGACCTCTAGATCATTATATTTTGATGGTTCTAATTGTTTTCTCCCCTGGGGGGGTGGGGGGGGTGGTGAAAACTTTGCTGACTTTAAGGATCAAAATTTTGTTTCGAAACGACGAAAATGACTGACGCATTTCTGTTTCTAAGGAGATCAAAACAAATTAGTGATTAAATCGAAATACTAATGCTTTGAGGTGTTTCCACCAATGTTTTTTTATACGTTTCAAATGTTTTAGTATATTTCAACTAATGATTCGGAGTGTTTTGAAAATAAATTTTTCAACTTTTTTATCTGTTTCCTTTCTCTTTCCGAGACATTTTCATTTCTTAGGTAACCGAAATAATGCTTCAAAATGAAATTTTGATCCTTGAATTACTTATCAGCTTGGAAGCTGAATTTGTAATTCAAATTAGGGCTTTTGTTTCTTCCTTTAAGGTGTCCGCCATAAACTTCTTTTTCTTTTCTTTTTGGAGAGCACCTTTTGCCCCTTTTCTCTCCTCAGGATCTCCTCAGAACAGGTCATTTCTCTTTATTGCGAAGTAGATATACACCACAGTTGGGTTGTTGTGTAAGCTTGAATATAACTTCACTAAATAAGTCTGCTGTCAAATAAAAAATTCATTTTCTGTCTCACAGAAAAGGTACCTTATTTACAGATAACAGGTGCCAGTATGCTGAGTTATGACTAGTAAGGCATTTATTATCACCACACAAGAGACGACATTGCCAGTGGCAGAGTTTTTACTTGTTTCCCCATGTAGGGACTTTAATCAGTCGCTCTTGAAGCTTTTGTTGTTATTGGTTTAGAGAAATTGGTGGGCATCTATTAAGAGTAGAACAACAGTTTGAAGAATTGGTTTGGATTTATGCTTTGGAGGTCAACTTTGGAAGCTATATCTCTGTTAAAGAAACCAATAGAAAAATATAAAGGGGAGTAAGATCTTCATATTGTTTCCATAATGTTTATGAGATGACTTCTGTCGATATAATATGGTGGGTTTGAAAAGAAATGTGGAGTTAGAAGTAGATATATCGATGCAAGAAAGACACGTATGATGGGTTGTGATGACAATAAGATCAACCATAGTTTGAAAAAGGAAATTCTCAATCACTTTGGAATTATACAAAGATTAGCTTGATGCCCTTTTTTTGGTCCTTCGGATAGAATTGAAAACGACTGAACATTTTTCTACATACTGGTGTGTGAATTCTGATGTACTATTCATTTTGATATTCTTCCACAATAGCTCATTCCCACTTCCATTCTGATGTAGGTTTTGTCACATCATCATGGTACCTGATGTCTCAAACATAACCAGAATTTTAGATTAATGATATTTGTTTGTAAAAGAAAATTAGTTAATTTCTCAAAAAGCCTGCTATTTGATCCTTGCATTTTTGTCATTTTATCCTATTTAACTCTCTTGGTATCACTCAGGTCCTGAGGATTTTCATTTTCTCTGTCTTCCTTATTGTTTTCTTGGCTGCTTTGCTTAGATATGAGCACCCTCTTCTGATTGAAGGAAGAGACAAATGCGAGTGGGTCCTTCCTATTACTGTGCATGCACCTCCTCAAGGGACTACAACAGCTCACACTCGAAATGAGAAGCCTTTCTCTTTGGAACCATTATGGATTCGCACTTAAAAAGGTAATTTCTGTAAAGAGAGCTTGTACATCGAATGATGAAGACCACTCAATGTTGGTTTATAGCACTGTGAAAGGGCCACTCCACTCATTATCAATTGTTTTTGAGTTGGATGCTTTAGCATGGTATCAGTGTTGGCGTTAAGTGATTAGTGGGTCAGGTCTTTTACCCATATGAATTTCTCGTTATGCATGTCCGTTTGTTTGTTTGGTAGCCCCACGAGCCCAGGTTCCATGTGAGGGAGGACATAAAGAGAGCTTGTAGCGACATCGAATGATTAGGACTACTAGTGATTGATTTATATAGTTAAAGGTCTCTCCGCTTGGTGTTGACTTGTTTTGAGTTGAATGCTTTGACAACTTTCATAAATTTAAGTGATCCCGCTCTGATCAATTTTCAGAACATGACTTAATTTTTGAAGTTACAAGGTATATTTCACAGATCTCTCTCTCTCTCTCTCCCTCTCCATCTCAGAAATGCATTCACACACATACAACATTGTTGGAAGATAAATTTCATTTGGTAAATGATCTTAAAATTCAGTTGTTTTTTTTTTAACTGCTTCCTTGAGATAAGTTGGAATTATCCATTTTTAGATAAGAGCAATTCTTGATTTTCTCATTCTTTTTTTTTTGCAAATTACCAGTCAAAGGGCAAGCTCCTACAATTTATGATTCACGGACGGCAGCACTTATAAAGCCTGATGGGCAGTCTATTTTGCTATATCGATTAACAAGTTGAAGTGTTCACCAAAGATGGCCACAAGATTGAGTGTAGCTGGCTGCTATGTGTCTTGTTCAGACGTGGGATGCAGTCTGTAGCCAAGAGGCTTTCCTTAGATGTTGTTATATGCTAATGATTTAACAGTCATTAGTTGTCCTCAACTTCCGAATGCATCCATCCGTATTATATTTTCGGTATTTAAGTTGCTTTTTTTTTTTTTTTCCTTCTCTTTTCACTGTTCTCATTCTTAAAGATTTTGGAGTACTGTATCCATTTTTTACTTTCTTGTATATTGGCTTGGGTTGCGTTTGGCTGCTGCGGCTGCTACCTGTATGAATCAGTTTGTTATACATGATCTCACATTTGAGTGATTCTTTACTTTTTTTTTTTTTTATTTAAACAACCATCTTTTTCTGTAAGTCATCTCATTTGGTTTGAGAGGCAGATCATGAATGATAACCGCGATTATTAAGTTCATTTTTTCGGATGTTGCGAAAATGCAATTTGCAAAAATGTTGTAATAGTAGTAGAAAAAAAAGAGAATGGGAGCCCGTCAGCAGCATACGTTAGCTTCTCTTTATGTATAAAAATCTCTAAGCATACAAGGAAACTACAAATATTGTTTGTAACCATAATTTTCTCAACACATACCCTTGAGTTGGCAGTATGAGTATGTGTCATGCGTCTTAAATTGTTGCAAAGATTTGGAAACTGGCTCTCTTGAGGTTTTAGTGGAGACAATCTTCCTGTTACTCTCAGAACTAAATTAGGTGGTGTGATTTTGTTTCTTTATACGAATTTTTAATGTAAAATGACAGTTAACCTTGATAATGCTAGGTTACTTTTATGAAATACAAGGTATCATTTAATAACACTAGTAATGCATTTAAGAAATTTAAATTATGTGTAATTAAATTGAATAATAAATTATGTAGTGTTAACTATTTTTTATTTTAATTATTGTCAAACTTAATTATAGATCTATTTTACCTCTTGAAGAGTTTTTAATGTGTTATTTATTTTCGTGTTTCTCCAACCCCTTAGATATTTAATCTTTAGTTTAAAATGAATATTTATTATAAGATTGTCATTATTGAGTATTTACACATCTATTTATATTATAAATTTATTACAAAGTAATTGATTAAATTGCAATACTATTGTTTGTAATGTAATAATATGATATTGTAGTATATCAAAAAATTAACTATCACATATATTGGACTGTAGAATAAAAGAATATAGATTATACTTTATTTCTTCATATAAATATAAACATAGATATAGAAAACTGTTTACAAGTGTATTGCTAATAAATGAGTCAAAAAGAATTTAAAAATCAGATACGATTAATAAAAGAATTTAAAAGAACTTAGAAATAAAAAAGGTATAAGAAATAAAAATTGAATGAAAATAATATAGAATTTAGATGTAAAATATTATTAATAAGAGAGTTCAAAAGAACTTAGAAATCAAATAGGTATAGGAAATAAAAATTAGAAGAAAACTAATATATGTGTATCATTGATTTTATAATAAAAATTAGGGATAAAATAGTAAGTCAAAAAATTTTCACAGATATTAACATTTATAAATAATATAAATATAAATTATTTAAGTATTGCTTCCTAATCGTTTGTTTTCAGCTTTTTTTTTTTGCTTTTATCTTATTTGGATTGCTCCATTCCTCTAGATTAATTGTATGCATAGTGATATACATATATAACTATCTATATAATAAAGTACAATGCAATTCAAATTTCAAAATATAAACAAAATGACTTTTACTTTTCGTGGGTGAGATCATTTTAAATTTTATTTTAAAATTAATTCAACGACTAATATTAGCTTCCCAAATTTTATAGGAAAAAAATCTCCTAAGAGTGTGTTTTAGCTGACTTTTCAAAAGTATTTCTAATACTTTTAACTTTTCATAAACACTTAAAAAAAAAAGTAGTGTTTAGCACCGCCCTACCACCATCATTACCACCACCCCCTCACCCCCACCGCTTTACCATCATTACCACCATTATCACCACCACTGTCACTGTCGTCATTGTCATTGCGACAACCACCACTACCATCACAACCATCACTGCCATCACCACTACCGTTGCCATCGCCACCACTACCACTAGCATCACCACCGCCATCACCGCCACTCCAACACCACCGCCACCGCCCCACCACCCACCATTATCACCACCATTGCCACCGCCGCCATGCCACCACCACCTCTGCCACAACAACCACCATCACTGGCGTCGTTACCTCCACTGTTGCCACCATCCCACCACCTCCACCGCCCCACCACCATTGCCGCCACTGTCACCATCCTACCACTACCACCACCACCACTACCACTGTCGTCACCTACCATCGATTACTACCACCATCACCCACTGCCACCATCCACTACCATCATTATCTTATTCTCATATTTATCAATCCACAATCACCATCATTGCCCATCGTCACCCATTACCACAACCCACCACCACCTGTTAATGCCCACCATTACAGCCATCCAATGTCATCCACCCCCACTACACCTATTACCACCAACCACCACCACCTATCATCGCCCACCATCGCCACTACCCATTATCACCCACCCTCACCACACCTACCACTATTATCGCCATTCGCTACCACCCACCAACACTCATACCCACCACCACCATCATTACTCCCCACTACCACAACCCACCACCACCTTTGTCACCCCACCATCATCACTGTTGCCCACCACCACTCACACCCACCACCACAATCGCCGTCACCCATGACTGCCACTACCACAATCGTCACCCAAAATTCACCACCACCATCACTGTGACGCCCCCCCAAAATTCGAGGGTCATTTATTAACCTGTTGATCATCCATCAACCCCCGGAAGTACTCGTGTATGTTGTATAATCCAACACCATTTCATCACATGACCATACCTAGGTCCAATCTCCATCCATTTGTCCTTAACATTTCATCAATTAAATTCTTTAAACAAGAATACTCAAGGCTTGAAGGCTTGGCAAATTTATGTTTAAAATTTTAAAAATTTTGGAAGACGTACCGGGTACCTAACTCAAGTGGTACTGGTACTTGAACCTTCTATTTTCTTGGTACCTAGATATGACGCCCCAAAATTTGAGGGTCCTCTATTAACCCGTTGATTATCCATTAACCAGCGAAATTACTTGTGCATGCCACATAACCCGACACCACGTCATCACATGACCATACCATGGTCTAATCTCCATCCATTTGTCCTTAACATTTCATCAATTACATTTTTTAAACAAGAAGGCTCAAGGCCCGAAGGCTTGACAAAGTTATATTTAAATTTTTAAAAATTTTGTAAGAGGTACCGGTACCTAACTCAAGTGGAATCGGTACCTAAGCTTTATGTTTTTCAGGTTCCTTCTAGTTGCCAAGTACTAGTACCTACATGTCGTGGTACCGGTACCTGAGTCCACTGTTTGTTAGGTACCGGTACCTTCATGTTGTGGTATCGGTACCTAAGCTCACTAGAATTTAGGTACTGATAACCGTATCTCGAGGTACTATACCTGGGTCTCCCAACAGTGTAATACCGATACTTAAACACTTAGGTATCGGTACCTGGGTCCAAATTTCACCCAAATTCATTCCAACCTCAACTTTTAACCATCCAATCTCATTTTGAGTTAACCCAAATTCACATAACATTCAATTATGCTCAAAATAAATTCCCCATAATTTACAACTCAAAATAAATTACACAATTGTTTTACAAAAATGTAATTTAAAGCCATATTCTGGTTTCTTCTCAATCAGGACCCGTGTGAGGGCTGTCCATTGGCGTTTGTCCCACACTTGAAATATTGTTCCCATAAAGGGTGAGCCATGCTCAATAGAGTATTTCCTAAAGAGGCTACTCTCCAACTCAGATACATATGAATTGCTCACATGTAATTTCACAATCAATCAAATATCCATTTAAGAATATGCAATTCATAATGGATTCTACAATGCCATGCCAAGTTATGAGATGTCACTCACACATGTAATGCAACCCAAGCCCTCCACCGACTCCCATACTACATGCAATACTATGCGCATGCATCTGGGCATTTCAAGCCCTTGTCATTGATGTTACACATCCAATGAACATTTATAAATCTCGGGTCTTTCTTGGGGTAGGTATTTATGGACTTCCACCAACGGGCACCTAACTGACACAACATCTATGGACTTCCACCAACGGCTTCGCATATGCGGACACACTTTATGGAC